AGAGTAAGTAGGTTTGAACCTCCCTACTCCTGGCGTTTCGACGTTTAGACACCCCGTTTTCCTGACCTCCAGTCCGAACACCACATGGGTTATCATGGCCTTTTAGGACGAGGACGAGGTGCCGACTCGAAGGTGCAGTGACGAACAGGTGATACAATCCATGTCTGTTGTTTGGGGGAAGGCTTCTGAATCACCCAGTAGCTTCTTGGGGGACTTGAACCCGAGTGGGTTCTGAGATGTTCTGAGTGTCACCCGTCGTGCGTCTGGAAGATCCGGTTCCGCCGCGCGCCTCGTTGTGGGTCGCCCCAACACACGACAGTGCCATCGGCTTTCAGAGCCGCGAAGGCCAAGCTACTCGGCACCACTGAGACCACATCCACCAGCTGCTCCTGTTTGGAACGTGCGGGAAAGCAGCCACCGTTTGCAGGGGAACATTCCACACGTGGTCCAAAGCACCCTCCTGGTTTCTTCAAAGTGACCGAACTTCGGAAAGCCCAGTTTGAGGTCACTTGGGCCTGCAACAGGACACTGGACTCCCAAAAGGTCACGAACTGAAGAGTTTGGCGTTCGGAAGATGAGTTCTGAAAGTACGACTGGACCCAGGGACCCAGGGCCGAACAATCAATTCTCTGGAATTCTCGACCCACCAAAATCACACCGGATGTTGCTCATCAAGATGCATCACACCGGACGGTCACTTGGACATGTGTACTCACAGCAAGGAAACGGGCGTGAAAAAGACACTTGATGTGCCTGTCTCCGCTGTTCTGGGCGGTTTTGCATGGGAGACAAGCCCAACGACCCATGAATCCATTCATGTCCACTGTTTGCACACGAGCCGACTGAAACAGGTCTCTGATGGCTGAAATGGAGAGTGGCTGGTGGTGACCCTGTTGGGTACTGGTAACATATAATTACACACTCCCGTGACACTCCCCAAATTAGAAAATGGCATGGCATGGCGGCATGGCTTGCATAAATCATATTCTGCTATATAACATTGTGTAACCATTTGTTCCTTAGCTGAGCTGCCCCATTTGGAGCTCCGGACGCCCCCGCAGTGGCCGCCGTCGTCTTCCGCTCGCCTCCACCTGGCGACTGTCGCCGCCGCTCATCGGTGTGCCCCAGGTGACGACGCGCCCGTCAGCGCGCAGCGCTGCGAAGGCGAAGGGCGCGGCCACAATCTCCTGCCGCTCTCGCCCAAGTTCGGACGACGCGTTGGTTGCGGACGCCGCGTCGGGACGCGTTGGGTGAGTGTCTAAGATTTGTTGAGGCGGCTTTTTTTGGATGCGGGTGTCTCTTTGTGGTTCGGCTTTCTTGGGTGACCAGGTGATTTTGGTGGACGACAAAGCCAGTCAGTGAGTGATCGGAAGCCAGCTGTGAGGTCGGATCAGTTGATCCCACTGTGTCAAGCACTGAGGATTGTATGGAGGAAGACCACTGGTCTGCAAAAGCAATCATGAAATCCGGAAGTCTCAACTTCAACCATTTGCTTGCCTAAAGATTGGAGGTCATCAAACTATAAAGCACAAAGGCAGGTCTACGAGTCTACTGAGTGAAGGACCAGCTCTGAGCCGTGGATTCCCACGTGGCTTCAGCACAAAATGGCCAACGATCCAGTCTCCTGCACATCCACTAGCTGCGACTGGACCGCAAGGCTATTGCCACCTAGCATGGTGGCGCATTACGGCTTGTTGTTGCAGTGTCACACCCGTCACCAATATGTAATTATAACTAATTATATATATATATTATATATAACCAAAAAATATACATATATATACTGTATATTATATAATGTAAGTTGCAGAAGAAAGGGAGCGGTATTCCGATGTCTTCGCGGATTCGGGGTCTAGCATTTCTACCAAGAAGACCACGCTCCACAATACTCCAAAAGCATTTAATCAAAACGACCCCATGTGACCATCTCACTCATCGTCAAGGCTTGACGACTTCGCCGGTGACGTGTCCACACTTGGTGGAGCTCATCACTCCAGGTCGATGGCTCCATCAGTACACTCTTGCCAAGAATCAGAGGCTTGAATATGGAGGCCGTCTGAACGCAACGGAAAACACCACGCATGGCCGCATGACTTTTACAACTCTCTAAATTGAACCAAGCGCAAAAACGTCAACTATCATCAACCACTGTGTATCATCGCAGCATAGAATAACGCCTGATCTTCAGAACTTCAATCACAGCTCTTGAAACAACTGCAGAATCACACTTCCATCAATTTCAACTCATGCAAACTCCCAAGAGAGGTCAATTTCAACCTGAACTGCGACCCATTTCTGAACACGTGGTATATATTAACATATGCATTATTGTACATGCTCTAATAAGTGGGATATAAGCTCGTACTTGCCGGGGCTCCTTCCACCTGGTCGTCAGTCCAGGATCCCAACCCTTCCGCCCCTCCCCCCGGGTCTCACCTACGGGCTGAAAGCCCCAGGTGACGACCGATCCGTCAGAGCGAATCGCCGCAAAGGCCTGTCGCGTGTCAGCGGTCCACGGCGGGGGTTCGGGTGGTTTGTAAGGCCAATCAAGGGGGGGTGGCAGAGCCCACCTGTAAACCACCTGTAAACTCCAGTTGGCCACCAGTCACATCTATATAAGTCACCCTGCCATGCACCTGGAAAAGAAGGAAGGTTGGTTTGATGATGTTTGATGGAGGGAATCTGAAGTCTATACTGAAGCAGTTGTTTGGACGTGGCCGTTTTGGGGATTAGAGAGTTGGAAGGTGGGTTGGTTGAGAAAAGTGCATGGTGAAGGCACGAAGTTGGTGACAGTTATGGTAAATTCTGTCATAGTTTCATTATAGTTTCACTATACTACAGTATGTGTTTTATACTGGTTTCTGGATTGTCCGTGTAGATCTCCTGCTAAGATTTTTACATCGATGTAACAAAAGTTGCTATATAAGGGCCTACAGTATGTGGGTCCATCAAAGGGCAGTTAAGGTTGTATTGCAGAATGCACTCCCCGGACTCATCATGGAAGTACAGTAGAGTTTACCACCTGCAGGTGGTCTTCGGCATGGCTCAAATTATATCCGAAAGAAAAAGCATGGTAGAACAGGTAACCAAGGAGACTGTTTTCAAAATGGATCCCACTTTAACACTTCACAACGGCAACCCCTCTTTAGTTGCTTCACCCAACACAAGAAACACATGACACAAGCATGAGATTATAAGAATTTATAAGAGAAGAACCAGAAAAGCATTCATTCACCAGGTCACCAATCCTTTCAAAACTCGAAAAGATCCCAAGCAACAAAACTTCATACCCTCCCAACTCCTCCCCTTCCAATCCCCTGTCCCACCGGGAAAAAAAAATCATCCAAGCGACCCATCCAAGCGACCGATCCAACATCATCCAACCGTCCCGGATCCGCAACCGGTGCGGATCCACTTCTCCAGTCCTTGCAGTTGGCAGTGACATCCTGGACTTCGACCAACTGCTCCGACACAGCCACGCTATCCCCGCCCGAGCAGCACTCGCCTGGGCGGTCCCGAGGTGAGGAGGTGATCAAGGAGTTGGTTCGGAGGGTGGGAGGAGAAGACCACGACTCTCATCATCTTCTGGGGCAAACATGTTTTGGTTGAAGAGTCATGAACTAGTCTATCTTGGTTCGATGTGAATGCTTTGAACTCTCTCAGTGCCAACGACAGTGGCGGAGTCTCCCCCATTCAAAACGTCAACATGAATCTCTCCGTTCTCATTGGACATCCAAACAGTCAGAGGTTGTTCCAGCCACCCTCCCACTCCTCACGACGCCACCCTCCCACTGCTCGACTCGTCGCCCCAAGTGATGACTCGTCCATCGCTCCGCACCGCGGCGAAGGCGTTCTGCGTCGCACACAGCTTCACCACGTGGAAGAGCTGCGCACGTGTGGGCTGTGGCGGGCAACCTCCGCAAATCTCCTCAATCGGATCGCAGGGAGGAGATGTCCAGACTTGCTGGAAGAACGATGTGCAAGTGAATCCCCTCTAGGAGATTCACTCAGGATGAAGATTTCAATAACCCTAAGCAAAACCAAGGCAGGATGAAGTTGTGGCTGGAAAACATGAAGCCTGTGATGGGCTGGGAGTCGAAGGACCCGTTGGCACAGGTCAAGCATCATGCACATTAGGCCGTGGCTGAAATCACCTTCAAACCCACTCCTCAAACTTTTGCTGAAAACACTTATAAGGTTTATAAAATGAAATTGTTGGGTGGGGACGTGTTTTGCACATATGAGCAACATGTCTAAATATATAAATATCCGTCCACCCTGTAAAGGACGCTATGACGACGAGGGGCCATGCTACGTAAACCAAAAACCAAGCACTCAAAACCACCCATCCGTGGCTTGCCGTGCCATCCCGCTTCTCTCCAAAGCTATCTCTGACAAATAGACACATCCTTCGCTTGACTGTCCTTTAGTGTGCCTGGATTGATCAAAGGCTTTTGGCGGTATTCAGAATTCATGCATTTGGTAACCAAACATACCATGTATCATACTAAAAAACTCCAACAAACATACAGGTTAACAAAAAAGAACAACATGCCACCCATTGCCACCCCACATCGCCCCAAGGCGCGCAAATGGTGTGGCCCCACATCTTGACCATGCCGCTCTTCGGGCGGATCGCCGCAAAGCCCGCGCCTGGCGGAAAAGGTGACGAGCTGACGACGGAACGAGATCGGTGTTGTCGTCCTGGGGGGAAACACAGACGAACTGCTCAAGGTCCAGCAACACAAGTTCGAAAGGAATCTGGGATCTCCACTGTATGTCTCTGAGTCCATGTTCTGTATGTTGTTTTGAGAGACATATAATCTGTAATCAAAATATGTTTTGGAGCAATTTCCGTGTGGATTGCTCTGAATGTTGTTTTTTTTGACTACAGGGTCCCGGCGTCCACTTACTCATTGATGCACCGATGCACCTTGGCAGGTGGCGTTCAGTTACGCCTCCTGCCGGCCCATCACTGGCTCGCGCCATCCGCCATCCTTTTGTCAGGCTCGCAGAAGGGGCCGCTGGCTCAGTGCTGAGGCTTTCCTAAAGAAGAACCACCAGACCTGCCAGAAGATCAGAGCCAGACCTGCGGTGTGACGTGCGGACGTCGTTGGATTCATGCGATGTTTCAGTTGATGTCGCTCATATTCGCTGATGCCACAAGAGGACGCGAGCAACAAGTGTGCGCAAGTCATCCGACGTGTCCAATACGCGCAATGGCAAGGACTTGAGAAAGTAACACCTCATGCCATCTCAAAGTTACGCTCTTTGGATCACCTACAAGTCCAATGCCTGCAACTCACCCTATCACCTCACCAGGCACAAAAACGTGGATGCTCAGTCACCCTTCCGGCCTGCCATGTAACCCAGCAGCCACGGCCACGAAGACTTGGTCACGATCACGGCCAGTCCACCGACGGCCGTCGCTTGAAAACCTTGGACCAACAAGAGCACCACGGTGGTGAAGAGTGTTCCCAGCACCAGTTGCGGCACGGATCCTGGGCTTTGACAAAAAATCCAAAGGTTTGTGTCCAATGCCCATGTCACAGAGCGACAGGATTTGTTGGATTGGGTGGCAACGTCTTCACAAAACCAAGCAAGTAAGTGCATGGTATTGTGACTCGGTGTAAGCAACCATGTTATCGACATGTGCAGCTGCTGCTGCTCATGCAAACCTTTTTGATCCTTTTTGTTTGGTAAGCTCATGATGAGAATAAGCCTGTCACTTGAACCATCTTCGAAGTCCGTCCTGAGATGAGCCCGGCCACCACATGGTTGGCCCGCAGTGCCAGGGGGGAAGTTCAGGGTGCCAGCAATGGGGCAAATAATTAGGTTCACCGCTGCCGTTGTCAGCCAGTAGAGCGAAACGGAGGAATAGCCTTGGATTCGGATTTTATTGTGACCTTCCCAGTGTCCGCACCGAAAGTTCAACCCTGAAGAATTTGCAAAAGGGCGCAATTAGGGCTCTAGTCGTACCTCCTCAAAAGGCAATTGAACCCTCCAAACCCACCTCAAACACCTTATTAGAAGATACTTGGAACCCTAGTTAGTTGAACAATCGGGATGGCCCCTTGTTGATTTTCACTTATGAGGTGCCCCGAGGCATCAACAAATCTTCCACTGCGAGCAACCCTCCTGGGAGCACGAGGTGTGGCAGTCTCGATTTTCGCACCCCAGCACCATGGCCCAGGCCGACCACCACGCAGGCATCATCACAGTGAGGCACCACTTGAAAGGGATGTCCACCTCACTGCCGACGAGGCCAAGCACCCTCTGTCGCAACGGGCCTCTGACATAGGAGTTGAATTGGTCGACCACCTCGCCACGCGAGGGATAGCTGGTGACGTGCCGGAAGCTTTGAAGGCTTCGGGGAGAGAGCTGAAGGAGTGGGTCCGCTGTCATCTGGGCATCTGTCCTGATCAGGCACTGATCAGGGGTTTGCAAAGCTCTTCTTCATGGTGGATGGACAAGACAAGCATTGGCATACAGTACAGTATTTTAAACTAGTCCTTCAACGCCTTATAATACCTGAAATGTTTTGGGGTTGCCTCTCCCCAAGAATGCAAGTGATCGAAGACTTGTTGAACAATTTCAACATTTTGGGTGATGTGAGAATAGTGAGTGTTGCCAGTGTCCTTGACGCATCGACCTCTTCCATGTCAAATGATAAGGCCACGGACGCTGGACCTTCCAACGCTTCATCGAAAAGATCAACGACCTGCTGTTCGATGGTGACGCGGTCCGTCTCCAAGGTGCATTTGGCATTTCTGAAGTCAAAGTTTGAGATCCTGGTCCGTCCAGAATGGGAGACTTAGAGCTTTTGGATTGACCAAAAGGCCTGCATTCTGGCCCAGCCATGATCAAGATTGGGCCCCTCTGATGGATTTAATCTGGTGAGAAGATAATCACTCTTCATCCAGGTCCTTCTGAGGCTGAACAAAACCATCTGAGCCTTGATGAAGGTGTGAGTCCCGAGGCCAAGAAAAGAAGTGCAAAACACAAAGAACTGTTTTAACTTGTTCCTAGTAGCTTCTTGTTACTAGTAGTAATTGCTTCCACCCTAGTAGCGATGGCCTCCAACCCAATAGCGATGGCCTCCAGAAGCTTCTTGTTAACTTGTCATGTTTAAACATGACCTGTCGGGACTTACATCATTTGCCCACCTTGGGGTGTTAGTTTTAGGGCCGGCCCTGACCAGGTCAGCCTCTTTGCGCAGGCTCATCTCCCACACATCTGTGCCAAGCGTCTGGTTAAGCATCCTCTCATGGCCGTGCAGCTTCTGCAAGCAAAACCACGAGAAGGGCAGTGCGGCGATGACACAGCCCTCCGGAGGGCCCCAGGTGCTCTTGAACCAAGAGAGAAAAAGTGACCCCTCCGTGTCCAGATCCAAGTGGGGTGGCAAAGTGTCCTGCAAGCGGACATCCAACTTGTCCCCCTTACTCCATGCATGGAATATGACTAGAATGACCTCCCAAACCACCCCAATGTAAATATGCCAGTCCCATGGAGTGGCGGAAAGGATTTAGATAGATTGGCCTTCTAGGCACAACCGGTGACTCTATGGCTGAATTTGCAGAACCCTGGGAGTCCCGGATCAATCTGCCCCATGTGTTTGACAGTCGGAAAAAACCCGGCGACATCGCGGTCCAAAAGAGTTAAACGATTAAAGCAAACATTATTGGAGGAAACCAAAACGCTCCCGTACTTCGCGCACGCAAAAAGGTGTCCAAATAGCTGACGGATGCAAGGAAAATGGCAATCATCGTGGTCAAAGTCCAAATGGCAGCCCAAATTGGCACGAAAGTGGTGTCATGAGTCTGCGAGGTCTTCGCAAACACTGCTATCTCCTGAGATCGCACACGTCTCCGCGAGGCACAAGGTGAAACACCTCCGAAATCCCAACGTGGTAACAATAGTTCGTGGTGCCCCAACCAAAACAAATGATCACAAATGGCAATCATATTTCAATTAATTATTATATATTATAATGATTCTTGAATGACCAACCGACCCCCAAGCAAGCAATCAACCGTTAAAGAATAACTTAAAGCCTTCACTCTGTATTGATCAACTCACCGAGCCACATAAAGACACCAAAGCCTCTCTAGGTAGGTGCAATCCCATAAGACCAGCATCTGCTTGGAGTAGGCCACGAAGGCTGGAATCGCTTGAATGGTGTGATACTTGGCCAAGAGAGTCTCTTCGTTGATGCACACGCCATCGATCCAGAAGCTGCGTCGGCTTACGAGATGTCCTGACACCGCTGCCACCGCGAAAGGGCCGTGTCTGTGAGGGAAACCCCAGTTTTATACAGGCCACCCGTGGTTCCAAAGACGGACACAGCGTAGCTTACGAGGGCCCTGACGTTCCTAGAGGCTGCCTGTCAGATCTCTTAGGGATCTTGCCCCCAAATCCCCCGAGCTTCGACCGCTTCGACTCAGTGAGCGCCCACTGACTGAGCGGCCCCACGACCACCCAAGACTCAGACCTCTCTCGGTGCGGGATTTGGTTGGAACGAGACCGATGGGGGATTTGGGCCAGGAACGATCAACCCCTCGGTGCTCCTAACATCCTCAGGTGGACCCCTAAAGACCGCAAGCACCGAACCTCAGGTTGGCCAGTTTCGCGCCCAAGGGGATGAGTGGGCTGTGCAAACAACAAAGGGCTTTTAAATATGATCCTGGGACTGGAACTGGCGCTTCGGATTTGACTGGATTGTTGATCTGACTGGCTTGTACCCCTGTCAAACCAAAGGAGGCCTTCCATACCCCAAAGATTCCCAAAGATCAATCAGGTAAGCATCCGAAGAAGAAGGTCGCTAGGAAGACTCCCATGGGATAGAACATCAAAGCGCTCTGTAGCCAACCCTGGCAGGCGCTTGCAATCCCCACGAAGCTTCCAGCATGCGCTCGCAGAATCAGAACTCCGCCGAAACATGTCAGGTTCGAAAGCACGATCGCAGCGTCCAAATTCAAATGAAAGCAAGCTGCAAGGAACTTCTTCCATGAAGGACAAGCCCATGAATGGCTAATGAAGAAATCCACCTCCGACACTTGCGGTAGAGTGGAGCAGGAAGTTTCTGCACATTTCCACCCAACAAAATTGGCGGAGACATGCCATGCGCGGGCCGCTTTAAACAACCCTTTCTCTTGCGCAAAGGCGGCCTGTCTCCGAATCACCTCCATCGAGCAAAAACGCTGGCCGCGCGCGACGTCCGGACCTGGGGGGCCTCCTGGGTTGGATCCGATTGACCACTGCCAGCACATGCCAGCACCACCCCACTGTCCAGCACTGTCGAGCGGATGTTTCGGATCTGCATGGCGTCTGAATAGACCAAGTCCCCCCGTCTGATGGTGGGACACACCGATAAGCAACCCGAAGCGAAACCTTTCCACGCCCGTGAGATTCACGGATCGATCTTGCCTTTAAAACAATATATATATAGAAAAAAACACCTCTTCCCAATGCTGGATCACCAGACTTCGCCCAACCATCCCCAAACCAAAGCCGAAGCCAGGGAAGCAGTTCAGACCAACCTCGAGTGGCAAATCCACTTGCGTTTTTGGTTTCAATGGTTCTTCTTAGCTCGAAGAACATATTTATGATAGTTTAGGCCACTAATGGAATCTGTGGCTAGCAATTCCTCTGCGGGCAGGGCAAAAAGCAAACCGGGAAGCGTCCAAGTCGGACCTCCAAGAAAGAGACACGCATCCCGCGGCGGTTTAAGTTTGCCGCACCGTCGGGGTGGGCACAAAGGCGTGGATGAAGCTTGAAAACCGCGGTCAGCTCTTCTCCATCCTGGAGCTCTTCCTGCGGCAAGGCGCAAGGGCCATCGAAATCCGGATCTCCAAACGTCAGAAAGGACTGAGAGGAGGTCGCACCTGGTGGACATTGAAATATATTGAAATTGGGCAGTGCTGAAATCGCCAATCGAAGCAATATGAAGCAATGACATTGTAGAGACTACAAGAGCTGTGGCATTTTTCTCTACAGGTCGTGTATCATAGCCGACTAGGAGTGTTTGTTGATGTCCAAGCTACATGGTTTTGCCCTTCAATGCAAGGGCAACGGATGCTGAGCATAGCGGGTGCCTGTAGAGCAAAAACCTGTAATCCGATCGCTCAGCCTATTATATAGCTCTATCTTACTCAGCGTTCCATAGGGAGAAAGCAACAAGTCTTGAATGGCACACGGTTCCATCTTGTTATATAATAGGTGTAGCTATATGATTATATGGTGCTATATAATGGACACACCAAAGAGATATAGAATGATATAAATAACAAACCAGCTTAATCTTGCAGATGGCTCTGTCATGACCGGTCCAGGAAATCAAAGCCTCAAAGTCAGCTACTGGCGAAGAACTGAACCTCGAAGTGCAGATTTCGTCGCAAGCGCAGCACTTGGTGAGACACTTCGTAAATCCACTGAACCACTGAACTGCAGGAGTCTAACCTCCACTCTCCACTCTCCAACGGCGTTCCTACGCGCCCCTTGGACGCTCGGGTCCACGCGCACCGCGCGTGACCGCTCCGACGCGAGGCTGCCCACGTTGGGGAGGCTTCGGCCATCGGAGCGCGCCAAGAAGCTGAAGGACTTCTGGAGCTTCGACTGAAGTGGCCGACGTGTTGGTGCGTTGGCAGAAACGGCATGGTGTGGCTCAAAACTGCATTTGGAGAAAATGGGAATCGGGATTTGAAGAAGTCTTGAGATGGAGCATGATGTTGATGGGTAAGTTATACTGTAAGTTAAATATTATAATTTGGCTGTATACTTACAGTATATTTAAAATACACTATGTAACTATGTAATTATATATAAATAGCTATTCAGGTGGATGGGGTCCATTCTGTCCAACCTTGAACAAATCGCACAACTGGGCCACCCGATGTCGTGATGCTGGCTTACTTACATCACGAATTCGCGCAGCCTGGATCTTCCAACTGTGCAGCATGTCTGCCTGTTCATCTACAACCATCGCAAACATATTGCGGTTCAAAGATCGATAGGTATCTGGGTACTATAGTGAATCACCAACTTTTGGCACACAGAGATGCGTTTTTTTACTGATGCCGTCTGCTTGTGATTCCCTGTAAATCTCATTAGTGACCAAACTGGACAAAGCCACGATGTGAAAATCGCAGTGATCAACTTCCCGAAGCGAAAGTTGGCGCATGAATTGGCTGAGCGCAGCTTGCTGTTTTAGGCCTTGCCCAACATATCCGTCCCTTCTGGCTCCAAGTCTGACCGTTGAAGTTGAACGTGTGCAACTGACAAACTCATACAGAACAAACCAAATTGTCATGAAGCTCCCTGGCTTCTGGGAAGGAAACCCAACACAAACCACACAACTCTCACGAAAATCACCGCGCTGACATCGCTTGCACGCAGAAAGAAAGAACGCCTGGACCAGGCGCCGCAAGCGGTTCAAAGAGGCATCAGGAGGGATTTGTACCTCGATGGTCTGTCCACCTTGGACGGAGGGTTGACTCGAGTCGTGGCATGTGCGGCAATTTCGCCACGAGGCTATTGCAGGAGATAGAATTTTGGCGATGCTCCAGTGGTTCTAAAGTCTGAAAGCATAAAGCTAGAAACTCTGGTTCCTTATCTTACAGGTGGTAATTGGGATCCTCTGGGATAGAGTTGTGTATCCTTTTCGCCACCCCCCCAGGAAAAAAGTCTTTATACAAGTGCTTCTTAGATCTTCTTACTTGGGGGTGTTGCCAAACCGCTGCTAGATCCAGGTATTCATAGGATCAGCTTGTCCAGCGCCTAGCTACTGCCAAATGGGCGGCAATATATAGCGGCAAAAAACATGCAGCAGCAGCAAACTTAGAACCACAACCCGACCTGGAATGTCTAATCTTCACACAACAGGTTCCGAGCACCTTGTTCGTCCAATTCGATACTCCCCGCCTTTCTCTTGGGCTTCGATCCATCAGGAACGACCTCTTCTTGCGTTAGCCATACACGCCTTGCCCTCACGCCCGTTTCTGCAGCGTAAGCCACTGAGCAAGGACACCTGGAGACTCAGCATTGCGGCCCGTTTTCTCCACAGGTGCCACCCGCGCGACGGGCCGTGTCGTTCAGTCCCGTCGGGCGGCTCTGAAAACGCGTTTGAGCCCAAGACGTCTGACCAGACGTCCGCTGTCAGCCGCGGTGTGGGAAGAAGCAGCGAAAAAAAGAACAGCAGGGCTCCTCCTAGGGCTCCTGGCCCACCGCCTGAGAAGATGGTTGGGGTAGATGCCAGGGGGCTCCTCGCCCACCGATCCTGAAGAGATGGTCTAACCACCCGATCGGGTCCTTGAAGATCGAAGTTTGGAACATCGGATGAACATGGCCCTGATTTTGGACTACCATTTTCCGAACAGCCGCTTCCAGGTGGTGGAATAATAGTAGGGTTTCCCACCCTATTATTATATGGTACTTAAACTTATATACTCTGCATTAATTAATAATGACAATCACTGGCAGTGTTATCTGAAAGCGTCGCTTTGGAATCTTAGGCTCTTGGCGGCCTGTTCTCCACAAGGCTCTGGCTATATGTCCGTCGCGAAGAAGCGCAAAACCCAAAACAGTCTCTTCCTCTACTCACCCTCACCCCACATATCCCCACACAAAATGGCCCTCACATGTGGCGCATGCGTCGTGCTCTCTCGGATCTGGGTCATCAAGACCTTCAACCGCCATTCATAGCTCGCTTTCAAGGCACGGTCCTGGCCACGGGCACGGCCTCTCCACCGGTCGAGCTCTGAAGAGCTCTCCAGCGGCTCAGGTACGCAGCGCCCGGGGTCTTTCGTTTCGGTACGGATGGAACGCGTCGTGCCTTTCCGGCGGCCGTGGCCGTCCACGGTGCCAGGCGGCTGGCGAGTTTAATGGTTCAGAATGATGCAGCCATGAGCAACTGCTTGGGCCCATGCAAGTGATCAACACATATGAAAACAAATGAAAACGATCCTCAGTTTCCAATGATGAAGAGTTCAAACATGTTCAAACCTTCCACATCAAATACCAAAAACCATTGGTGCCATCCTGGATATTCCAATGACTAAACGTTGACCAGTGGTGGTCATTGACACAGTTCTCAGTGCCAAATGCAAGCCGCAAAATAGGTGCCAACCACCGTGAAAATCCGCAAACACACACAAATAACACACAAAAAACAAGTTACCAAAACAACAACAACAACAACAACAACAACAACAACAACAACAACAACAACAACAACACTTGGTACACACTGCTGGTATGGTTCGTGCACCATTTCAACACCCACTCTCCCGGCGACCGCCCTTGGTGCCCGGGGTCGACCGCCCGGGGTCGACCTGTCGCAGTCCATCCCAGCGACAGCTATGCAACGATCATTTCGAACCCGCCCAAAAAACAGGCTATTCCCAGACACCACTAATGTTGTGAACCCGAACTCAACACACAGAGCCAAAATCCTTGAAAAATTAGTCACTCATGGGACTGCCATATATGCCTACATTAAGGTCTCTTGAAACAATTTGAAACCTGCGATTCCAATGGTCCCTGTTCTTCTGCGGCACCCCCCTCACCTCCATCCCAAGAGTTGGTCTTTGATCCCTCATCATGGACCGCGTTCCCAGGCCTTCCGACCTACCAACTCGCCAGCCGGGCCGCTGTAAGTGGCCAAATCCCACTCTGAAAGAAACAAACACCTGCGCAGAAGCTGTCATTATATATTAGATTATATTAGGGTGTCACAGTGTCACCTGTTCCTTCTTTCACCCTGTTTCTTCGTCACCTCAACCACCGACGGGTCCTCATCTGACAAGCGACTCGCGCAAATCCATTGCGTTGCATCACCTGACGGATCTCCGTGTCGACGAAGGAGAGGGCGGGGTAACCAACAACAGAATTGAAAGGCAAATGCAAGACCCTTGTGGGCTTCAATCACCTTCTTAGAAGGTATTTGGGGAGGGTTTAGAGGGTCCAAATTCTGAGGAGGTACGACGGTACGAGCCCACACGGGAGATGAATCCGAGCTCAAGATGATCAAACTCTCAGGCTTTGCCTTCCCTTTTTGCGGTCAAGAGGCGCATGTTGCAGCTCTCTATGGCTCTATGGACCACCCCAGAGCCAGAAGTGTTGGTTTCTTACCCTATCAATTCTATAAAACAGATTTTGCATGATTTTGTTAATCAATGGGGGAAGGAATTGCAAGAAGCTCTCCCCAC